CATTTCAACTATAACCACCATATCATTGTGGAAGCCTTTTCCCACAGAATGGTGAGGAATTATTTGTTTTAATTAGTCCTATTTTTTATACCTTTATATGGGAGAAAATATGTAATGTCCATATATTGACTATAAGAGTTATCTCCCTTAATTGAGAGTAAATGTACATATATACTATCATCTATAATATATCATTTAATATGAATATATTAATTATGAGAGCTTCATGTATAGATGATTAATAGGATTGAATTGATGTGCTATTATATTGTTGTTTTATTATATTTCAGGGCTATGTAAACTGTATATGATAAGCTCACTGTGTCGAATAAATATATGACCTGAACCCTAACAGAGGAGTACGTGTTATTTCTTCATCACCACCCCCTGTTACAAAGCCAAGGGTTTTCGGTTTTCCGCTTCACTCCCGAAAACCATTGCAAAGATAAATGAACATTTGCCATCTAATTTTCACCCTTGTGGTGAAGAGAGGTCAACATTACCGCTACATCGCCAAAATTTTCAACTCATTACCGCTATATTTTTATTTTCGACCGATCATTACCGCTACATTTTTTGCCCAAAAACAACTCATTACCACTACATATTGAATCAGTCGAAAACAACACATTACTGATACACATTGAACTAGGTATGGCACAGAATATGTGTTCCAATCAACAGAATTCTCTCACTATGTGATGAAGTACAATGTCGATTCGAGTTGTGTAGGTTTTATCTATGATCAGTGATTGATTTTATCTTTATATTTTTGAAAGTGTTTTTATGAAATAAAATAGAATTTCAATAAAAAATTAAAATAAAACAAAAACATCCTGTTCAAAGTCATACTTTCACTTCCCCACGGTGAGAATGGTAAACAGTACTTGTTCTTCTACATGATGTACTTTAAATCAATCTGTACACAAATTAGCAGCTGGCTAACGAAAGAAGCAGTGTAGCGGTAATGTATACTTTTATATGTAGCGGTAATGAAACAATTTGTAGCGGTAATGGCTATGTAGCGGTAATGAAAACTTTGAAAATGTAGCGGTAATGGTACGCACCCGTGGTGGGACACAGTTGACAAAACCTCATTTTGATAATTTTATGAGATGTTACACTTCTGGAAAACTTTCATAGACTTTGAATTGTTTGAATAACGTTGAGAAAGACAAAATTTAACGATAAAAAGATTAAGACAGAGGCAAGACATATTCAGTAGCAAGAAAACTTAAAATTGTAACTTGTGATGGACCAAGATTAAAAAAGCATTTTGCTAATCATTGTAATGAATGAACTAGATCACAAAATTAAAGTTTTGCGAAAGTTACGCGTTAAAAAACTGTATTCGCGAAAGTTTCGCGTTTATAAATTCGCAAAAGTCTCACTTTATAAACATCATATGTTCTGGAGAGAGAGAGAGATATATATTTTCATACTTCATGAAATTTCAAGATATTTCCGAAAAATAAAGGAGCTTCGCAATTATAATGCACCTTTTAAAATTCCTTTTTAAAAACATAAGCAGAAAACAGTACAGTTTCCGAGAAATGCATAGACCATTACAGTGTACTGCATACATACATGTATTTTTTGACTATCTGTGACTTTTTTGTTATAAGTCTGAAATAATGTGGCCTTACCCTATCCCTGGGGCTCATGATTAGAACAAAATTGAATTTACACCACCTGAAGATGCTTTCATATAAATATGAACAATCATGTCTTTGCTGTTCTTGAGAAGAAGGTTTTTGAAGATTTTTCCTAAATTATATACCTATGTAGAAATTTGATTGTCCAATGTGTCCCCACCCTACCCCCAGGGGTCATGATTTGAATAAACTTGAATCTACACTACCTGAAGATGCTTCCACATAAATATGACCAACCATAGCTTTGCTTTTCTTGATTTTTCCTATATCATGTATATATTCCTATGTGAATCTTAGATCATCCATTGTGGCCCTACCCTACCCTGGGAGTCATGACATGAACAAAGTTGAATCTACACCACCTGAGAATGCTTTCACATAAATGATTTGAAGTTTAGTGTGAATTATTGGTGTGTTAATCTCACAGACGTAGGCATATTTTTCATGAATTACTAGTGTGCTCTATGAAATATGCCTACGTGACAAGTCTGTGTGATTCACACATCAATAACACACTAAATTTAAATGCATTGCTTAATAAATGACCAATCATTGCTTTGTTATTCTTAAGAAGTAGATTTTTACGTGCCCGAATCGAAAGATCCGAGGCGTATATTGTTTTTGTCCTGTCTGTTTAACTGTTTATCTGTTTGTCTGTCTGTTGTCAACTTTACTTGAACATTCGCCATAACTTTTGAACCATGAGAAATAAAGACTTCATATTAGGAATGCATACTCCATTAAAAAAGTTCTTTCAAATGAATCAAGGACAATGACCTTATGACCTTGACTGTGACCTATATGCTAAAAATAGCTTTTTCTAACTTGAACCATGAAAGATAAAGACTTCATATTTGGTATGCTTCCTCCACTAATTAAGCTATTTCAATTGACACCAAGGTCATTGACCTTGTGACCTTGACTGTGACCTATATGCTAAAAATAGCTTTTTCGAAATTTGGCCTGAACTTTTGAACCATGAGAAATAGAGACATCGTATTTGGTATGCATGCAATACTGATTAAGCTCTTTCAAATGACACCAAGGCCAATGACCTTGTGACCTTGACTGTGACCTATATGCTAAAAATAGTTTTTTGGAACTTTGTTGCCACCGGGCGCATAGTGTTTCACAAACACATCTTGTTCCTAAAATATATTCATATGTTAAACTTTGATCGGCCATAGTGGCCCCACCCTACCCCGGGGGTCATGATTTGGACAAATTTGTTTCTTCTCCACCTGAGGATGCATCCATATAAATATGACCAACCATGGCGTTGTGTTCTTAAGGGGCCACAGCGCTCACCTGAGCACATCGGCTAAGAAAAAGCACATATCAGATCAGAACTGAAAGTTTACTGAGCATGAGAGGGGGGCTTGAATTTTAACCCCCCAGGGGATCATGATTTGAATTTACTAGAATATACACTACCTGAGGATAATTCCATATAAATATTACTAATCATGGCTTAATTTGAAGTACTTGAAAAGAAGACTTCCCTATATATTCCTATGTAAAACTTTGGTAGGACATTTTGGCCCCACCCTAGTCCCGGGGGTCATGATTTGAACAAACTTGAATCTACACTACCTGAGGATAATTTCACCTGAGTTTCATCTTTCCTGGCTCAACGGTTCTTGAGAAGAAGATTTTTAAAGATTTCTCCGATATATTCCTATGTAAAACTTTGATCGACCATTTTGGCCCCACCCTACCCCTGGGTGTCATGATTTGAACAAACATAAATCTTCACTACCTGAGGATGATTCCACATGAGTTTCATCTTTCCTGGCCCAGTGGTTCTTGAGAAGAAGATCTTTTAAAAATGCCATTAATTTTTCTCTAATTCATAATTATCTCCCCTTGGAAAAGGGCATGGCCCTTCATTTGAACAAATTTGAATCCCCTTTACCCAAGGATACTTTGTAGCAAGTTGGGTCGAAATTGGCCCAGTGGTTTTTGAGGAGAAGACAAAAATGTGAAAGTTTACGACGACAACAAGGGCGACTACAACATGTACGACGACGACAGACAACAGACAAATTTTGATCAGAAAAGCTCACTAGAGCCTTTGGCTCAGGTGAGCTAAAAAGAAGATTTTTTTCTAATATATATTCCTATGAAAAACTTCAATTGTCCAATGTGGTCCCACCCTACCCCGGGGGTCATGATTTGAACAAAATTGAATCTACACTACCTGAGGCTGCTTCCATATAAATATGACCAATCACAGCTTTGCTTTTCTTGAGGAAAAGCTTTTTGAATAATTCTTCAGCTCAGGTGAGCTAAAAACTTTAACCTTGAATGGTTTGGTTTTCATATTTCTATAGTGAATTCTTAGCTAGTGAGTAGAATGTTGGTATGGTAGCAACAGTTGACCTCCTGACCTTGAAATCTGTCCACTTTTTGGAAAACTTCAGAAATATCCATTAGTCAAAACTTTTGAACGTCTGTTGCTAGGCCTTTCATATTTGATATTTCACATTATTTCTTTCGACAAAATCCATTTTTAGGTATTTTTACCTGGTGACGTTGTGGTTTGACCTTTTAATGAAAAACTTTAAAGTTTGGCCATGACATGTAAAAGGTTGGTACTGTGGCTTTCATTGTAATTTATTCACATGTACAATTATATTTCAGTTCATTTGACTTAATGATCCTTGTTTTTGACCTACTATCGAAAAACTTGCAGTTTGGCAAATAATCTTTGAATGGTTGGCGTTAACCCTTTCATACAGTGGTAGTTTTTAAAATGAATAATTATTTAAAATACTATTCCCCAGTCCCCGAAATCATTTCATATTTTTCTTTTGACAAGACCTTTGTTTGGGTATCAACATTTCTGACACACAGTCCTTACATGACATTGGAGTTTAACCTACATTCAGACTTTGACCTAGGCTTTGTTATTAGAGTGGACATCAGTGTTTGACAAGGATATCTTGTTTCTAGCAGATATTAAACTTACATGTATTTTTAGCAAATTAACGAATATAAGTCCTGGAGCCATGAAACTTAAAAGACTTATGAGATACAAATGATATCTCAGTCTGGTCAATTTTACAAGAGGATTACATAGTGGACAAGTGGGACCAAGATCCATGCTGCATTCTTCTCATTTTTGTTACCCCATAGCCTGATGTGTTACAGATCAAGTTTGTAATATTTTTTTTTTTATTCATTCTGCCTTGAGAACTTGGAGAGGGGGGGGGGGGGGTGCCATGAAGTCTTGGACTCTTTCAAATACTGTTAATGCAAAAAAAAATCATATTGACAAAATGTTTGAATTGTATATTTATGTTGTTTATTTAATAACATCAGACATTTTTCAAATATTATTCAAAGTAGCACTTCATGATCTCAAAAGAAAAAAAAATATTTGAGACAAAAACCTATATACTATTTATATACATTTTAGCTTGTTTAATAGAACAGTGCAAAGGAAATTATGTTTTCAAATATGTACATTAAACCTGTTCTTTTTCTTGGAGCTTATAAAAGTTGTGTTTTTAAATTAATTTTAGATTTTAAACAGAAGACATTCTTATCATATCATTCCTTTAGTAAACAAATTACATAAGTAAACAAATAACATATAGAGAGATCTTTGTAATCTTTCATAATTAGTGAAATGACATCATAAATATATTTAAATTTGCATGATTTCACTGGAAAAATACTGTAAACCAACTTTCATTCCCCTGTGATATATATCAGCAAGTTTTGAACCCTACTTGAATTTGCGAATATTCATTGATGTGAACCATTTATTTTGTACGTTTTATAGAAAATATTTCCTAAGTCGCAAAAATTAATTGTCACATATCTATTTCTAACTAACAAATTGGAAATAATAATAAATAGCGAATGAAAGATGACATGAGTTATTGTTGGTTTACAGTACAATGTCATAAGCATGATTAGTATCCAGATTTTAAAATAACTGTCAACATGGTCAATATAACAGTAAACCTTGTACATGCTAATCACTTTTCGGACAGAAACTGATTCACCTAGACCTTATAATGTTGGACTGATTTAGATTTAACATGCTGAATACACACAACTTGAGAGAAATGAAATACACATGGTATAATCATATTAATTTGTGACATATAAACAAATAAAATTGCTTTTATGAAGTCCATTTCAATTGTAGAGAGACCTTGACAGAAAATAGTGTACATGATTATAATATAAACATCTATCTTTTAGAATAGAAGTCTTGCAATTAAAACAATTTACTATGAGAAGGTAGCTGCCTTTGTGTAAAAAAAAAATCAAATTTTAAAATCATTGATAAAATGTAAATTAAAGCAGTTTTTTTTTTCTTACATTCTAACATGGCTATGTACAAATGTAGAAATCAAGAGTAACCTGAAATGTACTTATGCAATTTTTGACTGAAAAATTACAAATGTTATTTTTTTTCCTTTTATCTTTACATGGCAATATTTAACTATGGATTTAAAAAAAACCCAGGATCATAAGATGTAACACATTTATAAATAATCACATTTTCCATAATGATTTTGGTAAGTAGACTAAAATAAACCATTTCAGTCTTGACTAAAACTAAACAGTCTTTTTTTTTACATTTGTACAGTGAGAATGAATGAAAAGGTGGATTTCCCTCCAGTTAAACATAACTTGTAAGGTAATTGAGAGTCAGAACTTGAGGGGAGAAAAGCTTTACAAGAAAGAACACACAGATAGAAAAAGGTTATAAATATACCCAGGAACAACCTTCAATGTGTCTCTCTGTACAGAATCTGCTATACTTCTCCACTGCTTTCCAGGACAGGTGGATTTTCCACCAACTCCTTTGATAAAGGATTCTCCACATTGCCACTACTCTGAAGATCCATGAACGTGGAGGAAAAAGTGGAGTCTTTTACTTCTTTTTCAGATGAGGTATTTTCCTCGGTCACAACTGGACAGGAATCAGTATTAGCTGGATTCTCTGTAAGCTTCTGTTCCTCAGGCTTGTCCTTGTCTGGTACTTCTTTGTCATCTTGTTTTTCTGTGGCATCCATCTTTTCACTGTGTGAAGCAGTACTTTCACCCCGATGAAGAGAATTCTCATTTTTAACACAGGCCATGTTGATTTTTTCTTCCTCAGATTTCCTGCTAGGAGATTGAACATCATATTTTATTCCTTCCTGATGTAACTTTAACTCAAATTCACTTTTCACCTTGTGTTCTGCACCTTGAGGTTCATTTGTAACCATGTTCTCACTCACAGTTTCTTTGGTAACAACATTGTCTCTCACGGTGTTAAATGTCTGTTTGGGGTGAGCTTTCTCCAACTGACTTGAGGTATGACTGTGTTTATCAGGTGTTGCTTGGTGATGACTTCCATCCTTTCCACCTCCAGAACTTGAATAAGATATTGGGAATTTTGTTGGGGTCTTTTCAGAATTATGCTGCCATTCTGTTTTGGACATTTTCACAGGAGTGGAATCTCCAGAACCATCCACAGAAGAAATAGGTCTCTTTACAGGTGTTTTGTCCCTGCTGTCTTTACTTGAAGAGCTAGAATGATGCTTTCTGGACTTGTCACTGTGTTCCCGCTTTGGTGAATCGGAGTGATGCTTGGACGATTTTTCTTTGGAATTTTCTCTATGATGGTGACTTTTTGAGGGACTAGACTTGGAAACAGAATGTTTATGAAGTTTTTCTGTGAGACTTATATGTTTCAGTGCCTTTTTAGTGTCTTTAACATGTTTCTTTTTAACTTCTCCATCCTTGTCTGATATTCCTTCATGGGATCTCTTTAAGGACTTCTCAGAATGACTGGATGAACTGGAGTGGTGTTTGTGGGATTTCTCTGGAGTTTCTGTTAAACTGCTGTGTTTATGAGATTTTTCGGAGCTCCTCTCTCCTGTACATTGATGTTTATGAGAGTCCTTCTTCTTAGGAGTTCCAGTTGAGGGAACCTTGTCTCTGCTATCTGGGGTCCCAGACCTGCCAGTAGAGGGAATTTTGTCTCTCTTATCAGGGGTCCAACTTGAGGGAACTTTATCTCGCTTATCTGGGGTCCCAGAGGTACCAGTGGAAGGAAGTTTGTCTCTTTTGTCTGGGGTACCAGAAGTGCCAGTGGAAGGAACTTTGTCTCTCTTATCTGGGGTACCAGTTGAGGTACCAGAAGTGCCTATGGAAGGAAGTTTGTCTCTCTTATCTGGAGTCCCAGAAGAATGGCCCTTGTCTTTTTTCACATGAGTCACATGGTTCCCTGTCTTTTCCCTCTTTTCCAGACTGTGGGATGAATGAATCCTCTCCTTCTTTTCCAGAGTGTTTGTTGAATGATTTTTTTGCGAGTGTACTGTTTCTGTTGGGACACTCTTGGCTTTGTCCTCTGATCCTGTTGGTTTGGTGCTTGTTTCTTCTGACATCTCTTCTTCCTTAGGCAGATCTGGATAGTAGTGACTGAGTCGACAGTGCCACGCGATACTGGTGACAGCCGACACAGTCTTAAACTGATGCACAACATTACGGGGAATGAAGTAAATGTCATTGTCCCTAAGCTGGATCCTTGCATAGCGAACTCCATCCCTGCGTAGCTGGTTTAATTTAGCATCCTCCACCCATGCCACACACTGAAACAAATATTACACACGTAAGTGATTTCTTAGTCCTTAATGAATTGCCTTATCCAAGATTTTTCATTTGTCCCTTTAACATATTTATTGCTAGTTTTGTTTAAGTTTATAACATTTTAGGTCAATGGTATTTAAACATTTATGAATATTCTTCAAAAAAGCATTCATTTTCTAACTGATATTCATTTCATTGATTCTGAATCTTGACATCAAATACATACAAACTCTCACTTTATTCTGCATGATTTAGTATAATTATTCCCAATTTCATTGATCACTACCAATTATTCTGCATTATTTACCTGTGACACAGGTGGCTCATGAAGATCTAACTGTAATTTGTCCACAAGCTGTACAAAGTCTCCTGAATGAAAGCAAATCACATCCTTAACAACGCGGGAATCACAGCTGCTGAAGAGAAAAGAGCAACTGTTGTACACTGTCAAGATGACCAACAAGTAGCAGCTATCACATCACTACCAAATAACTACTATTTACTAAAATGTCTACAAATGTGTTAAGTATATTTTACAGTACGTTAGATATTTAAAACTATTAATCATATCTTGAATTCAACTGTTACATCTGTAAATTTCCATCCTATTCAAAAGGGAAAAAAAAAAAAAAAGATATCTTTTACATTTACTTTAAAAATCGGTCCATTCCTAAAATACATGTAACAACAGGTAAACCAGCTTGTCTATTAGAAGGAATGTTTCTGTCTATCTGATTTCCTCCATTATTAGCACTTTAGTTTACAGTGACCGACTTATATTTTCCCTTGTCTTTTCTACCTATCTAATGTACCTACCCTTCTTCTCTGGTTTTGACTGCCTTCAGCATCCCTACAGCCGCAGTGGTCATCCGGTCAAATCCGTGTCCCACATGGTCAGCATGGCACCTGGTTCGATCCTCTACCAGATTTTCCCTCGGTTCCGAGGCTCTTGGGAGATAGGAGAGATTCTTTAACTCGTTTAGTCCTCTGTAATGATAATTTACTGCCTTATTCAAACATGTCAGATTTGCTATTATAAAAAAAAGATCTCTAAGAGCTAACATTATACATTATACAGTCACATAAACTTCATGAGTGAAATTGTCCATTGAAATATCCTTAATTTTAGTTTTTTTTTAAAATTGTTGACTGTTAAATTCAGTGACGTAACACAGACTTTTATGAAATTTGTCCCTTAAAAGTAAGACCTTATATTGAAAGTTTTGTATAAAACCTTTACTGCACCCATTATCTATTTACATGTAATGTGTCCAAAAATTTAGTGATCTAGTATTTACATGAAAATAAAATAAGCAAATGTTGAAGTTTTTCATTCAAATAATTTGGCCTATAGTATATTTTCACACTGAATTGCCTATAGATTTTCTCTGTTTGTCTGTTTAACTTTATGACAAGAGAAGCTTTCCCCTCCATGACACCTGATCCCACCTTTGCTATTGAGCATACTGAGGTTAGTTTTTACTCTGCTTTCAATTTGTTTTGTTGCAATGCACTTTTGTGCTTAATTACTGTTTGCCATCTTCAAATTCTATCCACAAATAAAATGTAAATTGTATCAGCAATTTTCTTACAAAAACATTTACCTTGATACCCTTAATCCACAATTACCAAGATTATTCACTTCTAACTAAGCTAAAATTCTCACCTTTTACGTTTGAACGGTGACTTTGGCATATCAGCAGTGGGTACCATTTGTTCTCCTGGCCTAGCCCACAGAATGGGGCCGTCATTACTGCGGTTCCTGGGCATGTCTGGGACCACTGAACGATTCCCCCAGGGCATGACAACCTTCAGAAAGGGGTCAGCTTCCAGAATGTCTAAAAAAGCTGGGAAGTACCCTCCAACCTCCTCATGCACTGTCCCCACTAAACTGATCTGTAAAAGTGGGCCACATCGAAAAGTACCATTCATATAGGACTTTACCATTTGTTCCTGATATTTTGACATGGTCATTGTCTCTATGTCTGATTTTCCCAGAACACCTGCTTTGACAGTGATTTCTGGATGATTTTCTGCAAAGTAATCAATGAAATCTGGCATGTTAGCTAAAGCATCATGAACAATACCCATAACACAGTGAGACACTCCCTCTGTGGTCTCCCCATACACAAAGTCAAAGAAATCCCTCACAAATTCCTCCATCTGATCAGGTGACAGTCTGGATATCTCATTCTGATACGCGTGAAGAACCAATGCACCACCATTTGGATACTGCTCCAAATGCATAAGATTCTTATATTTTGATTTCACCAAAGGGCTATCTTTGATAATTGATAGGTCCTTGCTATGTGGGACAAATTTAGAATCCATCAATTTTTCAGTCCTTCTGTGCTCTCCTTTGACTTCCGAAACCTTGCCTGAAGGAGCTTTCATAATTTTGGAATCCCTTGAAATCTCAGTTTTTTTATGTTCCTCTTTTACTTCTGACACTCCAGGACAAGTTTCAGCTGTTTTTTGTGGTTTAGTTTCTGGATGAGTTTCAGCTGATTTTTGCGTTTTTGTTTCCAGACTTTGTGATGCCTGAGTTTGGACACCCCTGGAGACCCTTGGACCAGTGATTGCCGTAGGCTTGATGCTATGTCCATTCACACTCACTCTCTCTGTGGTCTGAACCCCGGCTGATTCATGCCTTTTTGACAAATTCACCTGCACATATTTGTTTTCAGTTCTCCGCTTAAGGTTCACCTGCACCCCACAATTATTAACGATCCGTTTCTTACTGGACGATATCCTGATTGTATTTGTGACATCATCACGACTTAGTACATAAGTCTTCTGGGGAGATTCTGTAATTTCACTTTTGAGGTTTTTCCCTGGGGATGCCCCCTGGTCTCTGTTGTGGCTGTACAGATCTGGGTGGTGTCTTTTTTCACTGTGGTGCTTATGTTTGTGGTGCTTGTGGTGTTTAGGGTGAGAGTGGTGGTTCTTCTTGTCTGGGGTCTCTGCAGGTGGTTCCACTTTGACCGGACTGTCCTTAAAGTCTTGCCCTCCATTGGTTACAGGGATCTCTTTCTTCACAGGAGAAGAAACTGAAAAAAAAAATATTTGAATGAATGCATTGCTCTGGATCATGATTGGCTATTGATTGCTGAACCAATTGAGTTCATTTTACCCATTTTCAAAAACATGTTGTCTGAAAATAACACATTGTTTGTGAGTTGTGACCATAGAAACACATACATGTTAACTCTCCCGATTTAGGCGGGAGTCTACCGCTTTTTCACTCCATCTCCCGCCTACCGATTTAATGCAGAAATCTACCGCTTTTCTACAAAAGCTGCGTCTTAAGTATTTTTGGTTCGCTTGGGTATCCATTTTTGAAGCCACTCTCATAAAATCTCGCTAGATATCGCGTGATTTGACTCGGAATCATACAAACGCTTTTTTGTACTTAGATTTCAAGCACGGATTTGACAACGACAACAACACAAGACTACCAGTGATTACATTGGTTACGATAAATTAATCAACATCCCTGCCATGAAAAAGGAGATAGAGCTTTTAAGAATTAGATGAAAACATTTGACATCGTCTTTAAAAGCACAGAAGCTCACAACTTTATCAATAAAGTCAATAGAAATCACTCGATTGACCAAGCCATGCATGTGGCACATCTCTACTTTCGTTTTCGATCATCGCGGGAAATCTGATTTATATAACGAAAGATAGGAACTTGTTTTAGATCTAGATTAAACCATTTTATCATTTGTTTTGTTTAAAAACTGAATGAATATTTTGAATTATTGCCTCTAGGCTATATCATCAAAGATCACTCTTCACAAGGCTAAGTAAAGCAGCCAATCCAAGCAAAATGATGAGCATGAAAAATATTTGAATTTGTACAATTTATGTCAAACTTAAGGTGTTTCTGTCTTCTTCTTTGCTGTTGATATTTAAGATTAATTAGTGTAGGTACCTGATTTCATTTAAGGCTTATAATATACATGTATATTACATGAAAGATATAGATAATCCAAGCGTTAAACAACACGCGCGCAATGCTACCGCTTTTGAGGTCTGAATCTCCCTCTTTTTCATCACAATAGGTTAACATGTATGGAAACAAGAATTATAAAGCTGCAAAATTGTATCATTGAGTATCACTCTCAATTCTTAAAAAATATTTGGAGAGTACTTAAACTCCTTATCTATTTAATAGTACAAGTAATTCACTCCCACACAGATTTTGGCTCAAATGTTCATGTATTCTAAAGTTGACATTGCCTGATCCAGATCGTGTTGTGTAGGGGCAAGTGGCTAGCTAGAATTTGTTGTGGCACAAGAACTTTTAGAATCACCTTGCAATAGTCAGATACAGCTTTAACTTGAAGGAGTTTCATGTAATTGCTGATGTCTTTTCATTTCTGGTGACATTTGGCGTCATTTGCTGTCATATTTTACTTGAAAAAGTGCAAAGAACTCTTTGTAACATTATGGCATATATCAAACCCAAACAGGTATTCACGAAATAATGCTCGACACATATTGTGAAGAATAAAATCTGGATACACCGTTAAATGGTAATATCGCACAGCACTACTGTTGAAAATAATATCAATAAAGGGTATTTTTGTGCTATTATTTAATTCTTTCTTAGCGTCAAAATAAGGTACATGAATCAGACAAAACTTTGATTGGTGCAATAAAACATTTGACTTTGTCAGACCAAATGTCTGAGTGATTTTCAAAATTTCAACACTGCTGGTTAATGCTGATTTTACAGTCCGGGACTCCCAAACCGAGTTTTACCAGTACACATCAACATAGCCAGTTAAGGATCTTTGCAACTGTTTGCAACTGTAAAATCAGCATTAACGGACCCAAATATAAACAATTAAGATAGTTATTCCTATTCTAATGCAATTCATGCATTTTTGTTTGATTTTTATGTCTTTTTTGTTGTGTTTTATTACATGAAACATTATGGAGAATTTGTATTAGTTGGTCTATTATGAAATTACAATCAAAAGCTTTCAGATCACTCTCTGTAAATATTCATTTAACTGCACCAAATATCTGTTTATTAGTAAATCATAATGTGTTTCATAGCAAGCGCAGCGAGCACAATAGACTAATGTGTAAGAACAACATGAACAAAGGACATTTGGAATGAAATCTGTACATACGTCAGGCAAATATTTGTGTGAAACCTACCAAGAATTTCCATAGCTACCAGGATTCCAAGCGATAATGGCGAATAAAAAATTACATAAAAAAAATAAAACGCTTTTTGTTTGAGGAAACCTTAAAAACAATTTGAAAAAAGTCTTCAATGTCTTTCTTCAAAATTTGCACTAGGTTTATAGTTTTAGTCAGACGCTAAGCTGTCTCCGTAAGGCCTAGAAAAAAAATATGTTTGTTTCCGCTTTCAGGCTGAAAAAATATAGGGTAGGTAGGTAGGCAAATTTTTTTTTTTTGAAATTTTTTTTTTTATTTCTTTTAATGATGGGGAATCGGAAAAAAATCAGAATCATTATCGGTAATAATCGGCTGGGCATAATCGATTAATAATCGATTATAATCGAAATTTTGAACTATAATGAAATTAATATAGAAAAGTTAAAACTAATTCAGATTTCTGTCAGACTTTTACAAAAAACTCATTTACATACATAAAATATTCAAAAATGTTAATTGAAATTTCTTTTTTTTAAGTGGAAAATAATATTTTGTTTACTCTAAACAATGTAGGACTATTAAAAACAGAATGGGAATGTATTTTTTTTATAAAGTCCATGTAATGGGTATTTTACTGATATTAGTCCCACCTTTCATTTAAACATGTATCTATTTCTTTTATTTAGTTTTAATTAGTTAAAATTGCAAGTTTTAAAAGTAGTTATCCAGAAGAAAGACTTGTATTTCTGATTCTAATTACGTTTAAAGATTGACTAAATTAATTATGTTTTCCTTTGTATATAGTAAAACCTTGCAATATCACCGTTTCCTGGTTTTAGTCTGACCCCATATTTAATCATGGCGGTAAAAGTATCAACAAGACACGGAATCCTTTCATGTTTTCAACATTCATCGCTACTTTTATGCTCTTTGCACTTGGATTTGGTAATAAAATTAAAGTATGACAATTTCATTTTTTGTTAGCGATGTCGGCGACATTTATTTTATAATCGATTAGTAGCATTGAAGAGCTTCTAACGACCGACAATCGATTGTCGGCGACAGTCATTCCATCACCAACTTCTTTAATCAAAACGTGTATAGAAGTAACATTAATGACAAAAGAAATGGTGTTTTCAAGCATTTCTGTGACTTAAACTTATAATAGAAAGGTGACTCAAACTTCTTTCTGTCTTGAAAAGCTTGCAAAGTTGGAGACTATAATTCCCTGGGTGAAATCTTGCACTTCATGGGACAAAAGCATTAAAAAAAATTTTAGGGTCGGCACTATAAATTAGGGTCGGTCGGGAAAGCGGAAACAAACATATTTTTTTTCTAGGCCTAAGCTTCGACAACCTCCGTTATGTCATAGATGTCACAGCTAGTCGAGATGTCTCATACGACTTGATGTTTGAAGTAGCTGATCAATGTTTCAAGAGTGTTTTTGATGGTATAACTGCGATCGCCCCAATGGTCACTCCATTACACATATTAAAATAATTGCATTACAATACACAATTTAGTGTTTGTACCAGACCTGACTACTAGTACTACATTTAGGACTATATATACTGACCTTTACCTGATCCTGTCGGTGTCCCATTTACGACTGGTTTAACTTTGACCTTAGGAGGTGATGGAGAGATTCCAACATCTGAATCACTTGTTGCTGAAAACCTCCCTTCACGACAAACATAATCATCAAGATATCCAGAATTTGACAGACGTCTGTAATCATGCTGTATGCGTTTTCTTTTACCAGTGTCGGGACTGATGCATGGATCGGGAATCGGACCGCCTTGCTGTGACACTGTTAAGTGTGGTCGTCTTGTTTCAAAGGACGAACACGAATCTTCACTCACATTTGAATCATATTTGTTGTCTGATGAAACACACATCGTATCAACAGCGTGTGCCGCATGCAGTCCTGGTAGGTTACGAAATAAAAATTGATCTTTCTTTCCTTTTCCGTTTATGTCAGCTATGTCTTCAAGTTTAACACATACCTGCGGCATAGACACATCAAGTTTTGACTGCTTTTGAAGAATTTCAAAGATATTATTTCCAGACAAATTACTTGCATCTTCGCGGTCTGTCGTTTCTTCGTCGGCCATTTTGTTTGACAAGTAAGTTTCCCGGATGTAAACAGAGAGTCCGAACATGATTTTGTTATATGTATTTTGATTGGATCTATTTACGATTTTGCATTTCCGGTACCAAAAATCAACCAATCAAAATAGATTTCATTTAGAAGTGTTGGGAAGTCGGAAAGTAAGCGTGCATCTTCCCGCAATTTGTGAAAAACAAAGTTAAAAAGGAGTTCTGATTAGATATATTGCAGGAAATTACTTGTGAGGTATGTCTGCAGAAGAAGCTTCACCTGCAAAGCGGGCCAAAGTGTCCAAAACTGACTCATCATTTGAAGGTGATCAAAGTCAGGATTTTGATCCTGCAACACAAAAGGTTTTGGAAGACATTGATGCTTGTCAAAATGAAATTGATGCCTTGAACGAGCAAGCCAGTGAAGAAATCCTGAAAGTAGAACAGAAGTACAACAAACTTAGGAAACCACATTATGAAAAGCGCAATGAAATGATCAAGAACATTTCCAACTTTTGGATTACTGCTGTATCCTTTATGAAGTGTTGAAATACAGGTCCAGGAAAATCACTATATTTAGCTATATAGCTTAATTTACCTATATAGCTTTATTTACCTATATAATATAGCTTTATTTAGCTATTTTAGAATAAGTTTCTGTTTTATGAAAAGCAGACAAAAAGTCGCTTGAAAATTATGGCTGATATTTTTTTAAAAAGGTTTGATAAAAACAACCTAGGGCATAGATAGTAAAGACATTGCCTCTTTTAAACACTTTTAACCAAAATATGCATCTCTATTGTTTGGATAGCTGTCCATCACTGGAAGTGCGATGGGGCATGACTAAGTGTGATTGCCTTGCATTGTGCTGAATTATTACCAATCAATTATCTTGTTGACCAAAACTGCTTTTCTTTTGTTAAAGTAGCTGCTAGATCACAGATTAACTGTTATACATAGCCCCAAGCATTTTAGATCTTTGATTGCAATTGCACAAAAAGAGAAACATTTTTAAAAGCGGGTTTTTGGTGAATTGTTGTCAGTCCATTTCAAAGTTGAAAACTAATTATACAGCCTCATTATGCGACTTTTTGTCTGCTTTTCATAAAACAGAAATTTACTCTGAAATAGCTAAATAAAGCTATATTATATAGGTAAATAAAGCTATATAGGTAGATTTAGCTATATAACTAAATATAGTGATTTTCCTGGACCTGAAATACATGCATGAACTGTTAAGGCATCACCACAGGAGATCGCAATTTTATCATGAAAGTCACCGAGAAATCATTTGATCACCAAGCCATGAGCTATGCGTTAGCAATGCGAATGGGAATGCAACACTCTTTAAATCGTCCATTTCACTTTTACCCACCATGCACTTATTCAATACAATCTGTTAGCATTCTTATCAAATAACATTTTTCTTAAAAAATTTGCTCTCTTACCATTCTTTGATGCTGTCAGGCCATCCTTAAAAAAATTATTTTTTGCGGTAACGCGCCTCATCATTTTAGGTGTGAGTAGGTAGGTAGGCTTTTTTTTGGTTGAGACAAAATGTCAGAAATAAATTTCGATTTTATGGAGGTATTAACTATGTCTCAGATTTCACCTTACTAATCAAACAAGAAAATTAAAGCATTCTAAATGAATTCAATCTTTTATTGCTCAAATATCAGAACACATCAGTTCTTTTTAGGCAAACTTTTTCGTAGAAAGTGACTCTCATCAGCCACATACCTCAAATAACTGACTCCACACTAATCTAGTGTTTCGTGGGTGTGATATATACGAGGTTTAAGATTTTAATAGTTTAAAATTATTAATTAGCTGCAAATCCGCCATCATCCAACGTGGAATTTCGTCTGCCACCAATTCTGTAGCGATCTCGTAAACATCATACCATGTATCTGTAAGGTGGAACTGACGCACAGTATTTCGGACTAGTAATTAAAATGTTTTTCCTTTCGATCAAATTCACTGTAACTGACAGAACTACAGAGTCAATATTTCCCACAACCTTCTCGGACACCATCTCTAAATATGTAAATATCAAAGACGTTTTAATAGTACTTGGGGGAAAGATAAAGCGTCATTATAACTGAGGCGTAAAAAAAATCAATCGGATAAAAACGGCTTAGGTGCAATGGAGACGTAAAAAAAATGTCAATCGGATAAAAACGGAAAATAGATACGCAAAAAAAAAAAGATTTTTGAACCGATAAAAAAAAAAATCCAGTCCAATACTGTTCAGTATCCTGTATTTCATCATTTTTTATCCAATTGTTATGCTTGGGTGCTTTTAAATCTTATTTATCCCATTAGTTTTTCGAGGTGCACTAATTAATTTTTTGGGAGGTAGAATTCGTTCCTTTATTGTGTTGTCAGTAAATCAAACTTAAAAGGGACAGGTAATCTTATTTTACGCATTAAGCACAAATAATCCAGAGAGTTCTGAACTTGGTTTCGTCATGCAAATATAAGTGAAGAAAAAAAAAATAAGACATAAAAGTTGTTTTTAAAGCCTTTCTATTGATTAAAATGGTTCCTTAGCTGTTTCTAGTTCATGAACCACCCACAGATCTCTGCTATCCTTGATGAAGAGGAAGAAGAATGTCTGCATTACTTAACTACAGTAAGTTATGGATAGAAACAGCAACCCCAGCTTTGGGTCAGAGTTCCAGACTCTATTGTGGTTCCAAATTATATTTAGTAATGTAATCATGTTAATATTTCATAAAATTGCAAAAATCCACCTCCTGTCCTTCTAGGAAACAAACATGTAATCTTCTTGCAAAAACTAGTTATTATCAATTCCAATAGAGTGTACAGCTTGCAGTTAAGATACCTCGAGAGCAGCTGTCAAAATAGGTTGTGATATAATGCAAAATTGTAAACTTCACTGGAATTGATAATATTTACCATTTGCTCTCTGTGTCTGTACAATCAGCATTCGTTTTGGATAATAAAACAGTTCTCAGACTATGTATGTGGTCTGCTACTTAATATTTGTAAGACCAAAAGTAAAATTTGGAGGTGATGATCCGCTGTATGATTTTATTTTTCTAGGTCAGTGTAGAGGAGTTTGATGATATTAAATCGGGTTACAGAATCAGCTTTAAATTTTCAAGCAATCCTTACTTCAGCAATGAGGAAATTTCGAAAGAATTTCACCTGGCTAACACAGGTAAAAAATTATTTTTTTTATAATATCAAGTCTGAACTCTTATTGGAAAAAAAATTTAAAATTAAAAATTGGTTGCTGAATGTTGTACATTACATTTATACTATGTACTGCAAATCATCTTTGAATTATATTGTGTTGTAAACTGAGTGTATATTGATACATATTTTTTGACAAACTGAAATTATGTATTACATATATTTGTAAAAGGGGATCCTGAATCCAATTCAACGGAAATAAATTGGAAAGAGGGAATGGATCTGACAAAGAGGGCGCAACAGCAGACTAATCGGAAGAGGCGGCGCGGGAGTGGGAGGACATTTTTCGCCTGGTTTAACGACGTTAACGATCCCTCCGCAGATGATATAGCTGAGGTAGGGGCGGTAGAGCATTATTTTACATGCTGATCAGATTGTTTGATTAGTTGAATCCACACTTTTTAAAAGTTAGGCCCTTGAATGCCACCCAAAACCACTAGAATCCTCACAGTAGCCTCTGTAGTTATTGGGTTTATAACTTTGTTATTTGATTATAAAAAAAAAATCTGTTCATCATGCATCTTGAGTGTCCTAAAACACCTCCTTGTCTGTTAAGCATATTATGTTGTCAATGTGGTTATAATGTTTTTGACTGGTCCATTTGTCTGTCAGTCCATCTGTGATCACTCAAGTAGGATTTAGTTACCCTTACATTGAAAGAATAAAAAAATTATGCATAGGAGATTTTCAAAGCAAACCAGAATGTTTGGTAGCATAAAAAGTAGAAATGTTGATTCTCCTTTTTTATGCCCCCCTTCGAAGAAGGGAGAGCATATTGCTTTGCTGCTGTCTGTCGGTCGGTCTGTCAGTCCACTTAGTTTCCGTTCATTTTCTTTGCAACCGTTGCAGATACTGAAATGAAATTTGGTATACAGATATATCACATGAATATTTAGATCAAGTTCTGTTATGGGTATAATCGCACCATTTTTGACAGAGTTATGCCCCTTGGACTTAGAAAAATTCCAATTATTTGCAGTTTCCATTCATTTCCTTTGCAACCATTGTAGATACTGAAATGAAATTTGGTATACAGATATATCACATGAATATCTAGGAAAAGTTATGTTTTGGGTATGATCGCACCATTTTTGACAGAGTTATGCCCCTTGGACTTAGAAAAATTCCAATTATTTGCAGTTTTCATTCATTTCCTTTGCAACCGTTGTACATACTGAAATGAAATAGCATACAGATTTATCAGAGGAATATCTAGGTTAAGTTATATTTTGGGTATGATCGCACCATTTTTGACAGAGTTATGCCACTTGGACTTAGAAAAATTCCAATTATTTGCAGTTTCATTTTCTTTGCAGAGGTTGCACATACTAAAATGAAATTTGGTATACAGATTTATCAGATGACTATCTTGGTCAAGTTCTGTTTTGGGTACATGTACAATCACACCATTTTTGACAGAGCTATTCCCTTTTGGACTTGGAAAAATTTCAATTTGGGGGAAGGGGGGCATAAGTGTTTTATAAACATCTCTTGTGATCTTATGGTTGACACGGCAAAGGGACAAAACTTTTGCAAATGTGGATGGAACTTGATTCATGCACATGAAAATACGTATTGTGAGTCGAAAAGTCATTGAATATTAAATTCTGCTGAAGAAAGGGTTATTACATGTGCATGCATGACTGAAATACTGCTTAATAAAGTGTTAAAGTTTCATTGTAAAATTAAATTGTTGAATTAGGTCTCAATTGGAATATACAATACTTAATTTACAAAAAATATTTTATGCCAGAATTGTAAACCACAAAAAATCAGCAGAAACTGGCTTTAAGAAGGTCTTGAATGGAAATTTCATCCCAATATAACTTTTAAAATAATATTTTTGTGTGATTTAATTCAATGATTTCCTTATCGTTACAACAGGTGATTAAAGATGACATGTGGCCCAACCCCCTTCAGTATTACTTGGCGCCAGAAATTGATATGGATGAAAATGGAGTGAGGTAAACCGTAAACCTAAGTTCTGATGTACAATTTAGTGTTCTGATATATCATATAGTATTTAAAAGAAAAAAATTAAAGGTTATATTTATAGATGTTATTGGTCAAACAAGTCAGTGCATTCAGATCTGTCATGCTTAGAAATGTTTAATTGTGAGATTGGTAAAATACTGGCAATTTTTACTGACAAAAAAAATCATGATAGACTTTTATGTATTAATTAATTTATGTCCACACAGTAAAAACATATTAGATGAAATTGTTCTGCTTACTGCTTTTGGGATTGTATATTTGGCACTCTGCCACAAAACTCTCAACTGTTAACTTTGACGAAAAGCTGGTGTAATAGATGAAAGTTAACTGTTACAGAAAATGGTTATTTCTTGTGTATTTTAAAGGCATTTAGTCAGGGTCAAATACAATGAGATGAAAATGGTATTTGCAACCCAAGGTTTCCTAATGCGGGAAGGGGGCATTCACATCTAATTTATTCAACACTGAATTTGGACTGGTAGTTTTTGTATATCATACATGAATAATATGTATTCTGGTTTACGAGCCTGCAGGGGAGATAATTATGTAAAATCTAATCATCTCTCTTTGATTTGAAGTTGAATGAGGACTGGCATTGTTTGATGGGTAAAATAGGTACTGATTTACAAGACAGCAAGGGGGGTAATCATGTAGTTTCTATTCATCTCTTGACTGAGGAGTGGCATTGTTATGTGTTTTGATTTACAAGACTGCATTTCATTGTTGTGTTCTTATTTCAGTGAGGAAGAGGAGGAGGAAGATGAAGGAGAGGAAGGTGAAGATCTGGATGACTCGGTGGTGGTGCTAGATGAAGATGATGAAGATGGTAATTTTTTTTAAAGAAATTTCTGAGGGGTTGTAAATAACCACTTGCCTACTCTCGAATCTAGTAATTTTGTCTGTGGGTAACCAACTCTTAAGGATGTTATTTCCCCATTTGCCATGTCGCCCACGTGGCACAGTGGTTTGAGCGTCTGCTCTAGAGTCGCGAAGTAAGGAGTTGATCCTTACGTCGCAGGTTGAATCCCACTGTGGGACTTTGAGACCGGTCCTTCGGATGAGACTGTATAAACAAAGGTCACATGTCGCAGTAGGTGCTGGCACAAAAAGATCCCTTCCTGCTCAATGGCCCTGAGTGCCAAGTATAGGACAAAATTTGCAGCTCTCTAACGGCAAGTGGTGGCGTCTCCATATGAGTGGCAAGTGGTGGCGTCTCCATATGAGTGAAAAATTCTTGAGAGGGACGTTAAGCAGTATACAATCAATATTGCCCACTTGCCAAGTAAGAATTTCATCAGAAACCAACAATGTTTGAATTCCACTATTGAATGTATTTCTGTTTTCACTCCAGAATCTTCATTTTTAGACCCAAAACTGTGACAACATTATGATCATACAATGTATGAGGTCACATAGTGAGTACCATACATTGTCTAATTAATGTAACAAAGTGTGCATTTTGAACTGTTTTCAGTGGAAAACACTTATTCATTTTAATTACAAAGAAAATTAGATACATTTATTTTAACATAAATTACTTGGATATTTTACTGAAACATTTTCATTTGTAGAAATCTTGGTAAGAGAGGTATTTTTTTTTTTAAAAAAGCCTTTGATGAAGAAATTATTGTTGGAATTGTCAAAACAGTATAACTATTGATTTGTAGGTGAAGAAGTGTATGAAGTTGAAGATGATGAGGAAGAATTTGAGACTCTAGACTCTGTGGGAGGAGATGATGAAGGTAGGGCATCAGTTAAATGATTAAATCTAGATCATTGTCAACACATCCTAATGAATTTAGCACCTTTCATGGAAAGCATTTTCAGATCTGCTGACAGTTTTATGCTTGTATATGTGTATTCATTTTAAGCACATTTAGAAAAGGCTAAATCAAATCTGCACTAATTTTCTGAAAAATCCATCTCTGTCAAACATTGTACAGTAAATGTACACCCGAAATAAAGTCCTGTAAATTTTTTTAAATGCGGTATTACGTGTTATTTATGCTACTGTACACTTTTTATCTGCAAGAACTTTATTTTCATGTAATCCGCGAGACAATGAGCTCGCAAAAATTTCATTCTCCCATATAAAAGTATTCCTTATGATTATTTAGAGGAAAAACAACGATTCTTGAAAATTATGTCTTGCTAAAAAAGAGTTATGTCTTGCTAAAAAAAAGGTGGCGCGAAAATTTGGTTATCTACAGTATGTCTAAGGTCATAAATTTTCCACCAAAATATATTCCACCATACTTAAAGTGCATACTTAAGGCATATATAAGAGCCTCAAAAATAAATTTTGCTTATTTGTTCAGATGATGGTGTTGAGGTGATTGAAGATGGTGAGGATGAAGAGGCAGCAGAAGAAGATGATGATGAAGCAGAAGAAGAGCCCACGAAAGGGAAGACGCCAGTGAATGGTTCTAGTGGAGCTCCCGTAGTGGTGAACGGATCCACGGAAAAAGAGGGAGGGGGAGGGGAATGAAGCCCCTCACTAGACACTAGAGGAATGTTTGTCTTAGGGCCATTAAAGGAATTTTTAATCTAGTTCTATGAGCGAGTGCCAATGATTGCTGCTTTATTTTATGTTTTCATACATGTATTTTCTTTATGGGTTATCAATAAACTTGGTTATATATTGAAATCATCAAGTTTTACTGAAATGTTGAAAAGTAAAAAAGGGCAGCATTTTTGCTTTACTTTTGGCTACTATATCTTATTGCCAATGAATGCTTCAACTTTGATGGCCATTTCTTGAGCAATGAATTCCATCTTTCAACCGCACTCTAAAGTTTCTTTTATTTCATACAGTTGATTGAAAGTGATAGCTGTGTAAACATAATATTACAACATACAATGATGATGGAATCTTCATTGTCACTGTGTCGGTGGCAATTATTGGTACTCCCATAGAACTGTTCCATTATTTATTGTTGGTTAAGTCATAAGATTATTTTGTCCATGATTAAATATTGTCTAAATCATTAAGTGATTAACCATATTTTTACATTCATTGCATTATGTATGTAAATCATCACTAATTATGCACGTCCCTCTGTTGGTAGGACTTAGGTTTCACTAGAATTCATCCATGCAAGCTTTATCAACATTCACATTTGTATCAACCTGAGAGTTCATATTACATGTATATCCATTGGACCTCATTGTGAAGTTTTATGTATCATTTGTTTCCAAGAAAAAGTTACTCTATCCCATAACACAAAAATTTAAAGAAAAGAGGAAGAAAACTACAATGGTAATTAAAGTTCATATAAGGCAACAAAAGTTATGGATTAAATCATTAATATTTTTGTAAAGTCTTCTGATCGTGTGACTAGATGTATCAAAGATACCATAAAATGCTTACACTGCATGTTGAACTGCAAACAGTATGTACATTTATATCTTGTAATAGAACATAGCTTTTTTTTATCCTTGAAGCAAAATTCATGTCTGAAACACTTGCTGACAAATCTCTTGAGAAAAATAATAATAAACAGTAAACCATGTCTTACTTTTAATGATTCTTTCCAATAATTTGATGAATGCCTATCCATGCATTATGGTATATTTCAAGCATTTGAGTTTGTATTAAGGACATGTTCAACGAACTGCAAGAAGTTGAATGACTTTTCCGAGTATACTTTTGAAAGTCACCAGAGAAGGATAGTAGAAGAATTTCTCGGTAAGGTTGGATCTTTAGCTTTTGTCAGAAGTCTACCTTTCTAATGTCAACCCATGGTGCAGTGGTTAGAGGATCTGCTCTAGTTTCGCAAAGTAAGGAGTTGATCCATACGTTGCGGATCACTGTGGGACAGGGAAAGCGTATAAACGGAGGTCCCGTGTCACAGTAGATGCTGGCATAAAAAAGATCCCTCACTGCTCAAAGGCCATAAGTGCTGAGTACAGGACAAAATTTGCAGCTCTCCATGGCAAGTTGTGGCGTTTCCATGTGAGTGGAACATTCTCAAGGGATGTTAAACAACATACAATTAATCTAAAATGGAAACTGACATGGGCAACAATCAGTCGGTCCTATATTTACAAGTACCTGACTTTTCCAGTATGAATGCTGATGCTTTTTTGGTATATTCCATGAAATTGCTGATTGTCTTACGGAGGGTTCTTTTTTTTATTTATTTATGAGCTCATGATGAAAAGATTCAATAATTCATGTTAACCACAAAATGTACATGTATGCATTGATTATGCAACAATTTGTTCAATCACAAAATTAAACCTTCACAAACTCATAAAATTTCTTCAAACCTTGAATGTTTGACCCTTTGAAAACTAGTGATTTTACAATGCGTTTCATTCTTCACTGATAGTCAAGTATGATCAGAGTAACGGGATTTCATGATCTACTGAAATTCCAAATTATCAAAGAAAATGTTGTGTGCAGGGATAGCTATGGCGATACATATAAATAACAAAGAAGTATTATATTAATTCCAATCATCTTTGTAAATGATACTTGCGTAATAGTAATCTTAAATAATTCTATGATGACATGTTTTGGTTTCTTGGGTTTAGGTGAAAACTTATTTTAAGGATAGGGAAATCATTGTATTGTGTTCTACCAAACTAAAAATAGGTCACCATGATCTCATTTGGAATTCTATATATAATCTCAGTAAAATCATACCTGATTATATCCTAAGAACCCTGCATAAGAGAAATTTTTTGGGGGTGGGGTAGATTTTAAATATTTTTTTTTTGTATGAAGAAGTTAATATTGAGTTTACTATATTCATTTCATTTTCAATGATTGGTACATGTAACCACTAGAACAAGAGGCCCATGAGCCACATTGCTCACCTGAGTAACTTTGGTAATGCTGTTCTAGCTTTACCAGATTTGTCCCCTTGCAATACTTATTGTGGCCTCGGGGGGGGGGGGGGGGGGGGTCACAATTTTAAAAATTTAGAATCTACACTACTCCTGGATGCTCCATATAAGTTTCAGCTTTTCTGGCCCAGTAGTTCTTTAGAAGAGGACTTTTTAAATTTTTTTCCTATATATTTCTATGTAAAACTTTGATATAAACCTATTGTGGCCCTGCCCAACCTCTGGTGGTCATGATTTGAACAATTTAGAATCTACACTACCTCGGGATGCTTCCACATAAGTTTCAGCTTTTCTGGCCCAGTGGTTCTTGAGAAGAATATTTTAAAAGTTTTTTCCTATATATTTCTATGTAAAACTTCGATTCCCTATTGTGGCCCCGCCCAACCTCCGGGGGTCATGATTTGAACAATTTAGAATCTATATACTACCCCAGGATGCTCCCACCCCGGTGGTTCTTGAGAAGAAGATTTTTCAAGTTTTTTCCTACATATTTCTATGTAAAACTTTGATTTCCTACAGTGGCCTCGCTCACCCCCCAGGGGTCAAGATTTGAACAATTTAGAATCTACACTACCCCAGGATGCTTCCACATAAGTTTCAGCTTTTCTGGCCCTGTGGTTCTTGAGAAGATTTTTTTAATGACCCTACCCTATTTTTGTCTTTTCTTGATTATCTCTCCTTGTGAGGAGTCTTGACCCTTCATTTTAACAATTAAAACTCCCCTTCACCTGAGGATGCTTTGTACCAAGTTTGGTTAAAATTGGCCTAATGGTTTATGAGAAGAAGTCAAAAATGTGAAAAGTTAATAGACGGACGGGTGGATGACGGACAAAAAGTGATCAGAAAAGCTCACTTGAGCCTTCGGCTTAGGTGAGCTAAAAACTGTTCAAAGATGTGAATGAACAGATCCTCAAAATCACACTGTGAAGTTTAGGATTATCAAGCCATAATTTTGTTTCATGCCTCCATTATTCATATTTGGGGGCATATATTCTTTTGGTCTGTCCATCTGTCTGTCCCGCTATGTGTCTGGTTGTTTGCAAAAAATTTAACCTAACAAATAACTTGGGCAAAAAAAAATTAATTTCTTGGTTCTCAGGCCCTCCCTCATCTCTTCCAAGGGTGCCTCATTGACCCTTTTTATTGCTAAATCAATAAAATATAAACACCAAATCACCTCCCTCGTCATTTTTTGAGGTTTTGTACAATGTAAAAAGCTGCCTCATCATGTTTTGGGGGCAAAGTAAAAAAAAAAAAAAATGCCTCCCTCCCTCATCATATTTCTTGAAAAAAGGCCTGAGAACCAAGTAATTAACTTTGCATGGCCTAATGATTGGTAGCTAAGAGCTAGGGTTTCCATATTTCACACATATATGTATATTGGTTTGACAAGACTTTTCTTTGGATACACTGGGCCAACAATTTTATGACCTCCTGACCTTCGTTTGACCCAATTTTTCAGAATTTTGTATTTATTAATAATAATCACCTTAGCCACAACTTTTGAACAATTGGTTATTAATTTCAACACTTGAATGATGTAATATGTTTGTATATGGTATGATTCATTATTATACAAACATATGTATAAAAGCAAACAATTTACTTGACCTTATATATTTTATTTATTATAAATTCTTGGTTAGCAACAGAATAGTGTCTTATGAGTACACTATGTAATTAACTTTTGTTCAGCATGCATGAAATATTACACGTACATAGGCAAACACAATCCCATACTTGTTTCTTTTTCACACATTACATACATTTTAGAGCTTATATGTTTTGCTGGGCATTTACCTGTCACATTAGGAAACTCTAGTATAATAATACATGTATTGGATTGTAATTCTAATTCTAAACTCTTTTATGCTAGATAACCATTTACTTTTACATTACTTAAACATAACATTTCCCCCCTGTGATATTATTTTAATACTGTATGTGCCAAGTAGTACATGTACAGTGGACCTTCAGATATCCGGACGCCAGATATCCGGATGCTTCAGTATCCGGACATCTTTTTATAGGAACGGAATTTTAAAACGTAATGCTGTCTTGTTTAACTGGTGATTCAGGTATCCGGACGCTTCACATATCCGGACAAATTGATTGGGAACCAAAGCGTCCGGATAAATGAGGGTCCACTGTACCAGGCTTTTATTTTCACTGAACTTTGATAAGATAATGGACCTAAAATATATATACATTAAATTCAATGTAAGCAGTGAAATTATAATATGTACACTGTAATAAAACAATTGGTCAAACTGGCTAACAAACAAACATTGTTAATCGACTCTTTTTAATATAATTCTTTCTTTAAAAACTAGTGTAACATACAATCTATATGATCATGGAAACTTAATATTGCACAATACATCTGTCAACATCAACATTTCAAAATCAATGTATGAGTTTTTCAGCACTGGTGTGGAATGGTTCATGTTCAAACAAGAAACAAAAAAAAAGTCTTTGGGCATAAATTCACTGACACATGGAGCATATATGCAATTTACACTTCACAACATATGAAAAGTTCCCTTGTCTAGAATATAACCATTACAATTTTTGAAAATGATATAGCTCTTCAATGAGAAAACATATATTAAAACATGAGATCAAGATAAAATAAAATTAATATCACAGTGTGTTCATAGATCCATATCCTTCCTTCAACTTTCAGCCAATGAGGAGCATCCCCCTGAATTTGCTTCAATTGGATTGGTCTCTGGTTGTGATTGACAGTTTCTTTTTATTCTGGCCAGGAATCCTTCACTCTGACTCCTAGGAATTCTTATCCCTGGAGCATAAGGAACAAAAAGCATTGTAACTTATCTGTGTCAAGGTGAAACAATAGTATTATAGGTTATATCAGGGTAGTGGACATTTGGTGATCTTAAAAGCACAATATGTAATAAATATTTTGTAGCATCATTCGACAAATCACTTGTTTTCTGTTTTTGCCTTTTCATAGACCAATTTTATGATACTCGGACTTCAATTCAAAAAACAGATTGTGATCATTTTAGCTTGAACGAATTGTCATGCAAAAAGCCACATCTGGATCTGACACATTTTCAAGATAAATAGGAATCCAGACATTTCTGTACACTTTATAATGATGGGTAATTTCTCAATTTGTCAAAGTTTTGTAGAATTTTGTAACAAAAATAAGAAATAAAGTATTCAAATTCTTCATTCAGAATACATACATGTACAGGTGTATATGTAAGAAATTAGGCCACTTAACTTTAAAGCATTTAATAATGCAAACAATTTTAAGAACAGATTTTTCCAAATGAAATATACCTGCTAAAGATATTGAATTGAAACGTTTACATGTCAAATAAAAATCTTACCCTCAATATAAACACAACTTAATATAAATCATGCAAGCAGAATACATTGTATGAGTACACAAAAACATTTGAATCATTAATCAATGAAAACAACTTTACCTTATTTTTATGATCTGTAGACATTAGATATAACTAAAAAATCTTTTTTGCTGAAACACAAAATTAATTTTGGTAAATACAGAAAGCTACAAAAGCAATTACCGGGATAAATGTTTGTACAAGCTTAATCATACAGTATTATTACTGTTATCTAAAGTTTCTTAGATGTTTGCTTTAAAAATAAAATTCAATCTAACATACCGATAAAAAACACAAACTTAAAAAATGAGTTTAATACAGATCAACTGAATAATGCAATTAAACATAACTGTAGCATTTTCAATTTTATAGAAATGACATAAAATGTGTACAGTTACATGTAAAACGGCACAAAGTTGTTGCACCAATAGAAGCATACAATTTCTTTAAATTCTAGGAATTCACTATTTATGGCATTTCTATTCAAAATCTCTCACAAAACATACATCAATTCATGCATCATTTAATTTTTTCGTTTGTGCTTTTTATCTTTAGCATACAGTCACAACAAATAACAACAAATACTACAAATAAAATGGAAGAAATTAAAATAAAACTTATATATAGGATTTACATTTAGAAAAGAATGTGAAAATATTTCTCTTTAAGTAGTTTAAAAAAACAACAAACTAATAATTTCTTAAAAATTGAAGGCCATTTATTTATCCAAACACATGGCTACATACGAGGTTTTGGGGCATTTTCTGCCTCCTTGCAGCCGATTAGTCCCAGCTGTTTAAGATTAAGGATGGAGTCTGCAATGATCCGTGCAGTGCTTCGTTGATATCCTCCACTAGTCACCATAAAAATGGGAATATTTCGACTTCGTACATGACTGAACACAAGTCTATCCCTTTCAATAATTCCCTAAAAATATCATGCTTAATTTTCAGGGATACAGTTTATAGGAATATACTATTTATTATAGGTAACCTTTTTATCTTTTAATAAAATTTACCAAGACAAAAAGTAGCTCATTGTAATCAGTGATGAAATTCACAACTGTTCTTTTTTTGAACTTCAGTAATGTATTGAATAAAATAAGGCAATGTGTATATATTAGAAAAATTAGAACATTCCAAACCTGAGCCGAAATTGAGAGGTTCCCTAAGGGGTCTCCTTCCAGTATATCCGTCCCTGCATTGTAGATCACAGCATCAGGCTGGAACTCCTCTAAGGCCTCAGAAGTGTGTCTGAAAAGTCAGGCTTTCTTTGTTAATATAGGGAGAAAAAGTTGTTGCAACACTGCCAAAATAAATATAGTCAAATCTCAATATCATAAAAACTCAATTGGATTGTATTTACTTTTAGGCCAAGCATAAACTTCAAGATAAATGGGGATTCAAGATACCCAGAGTAAAATAATTCAAGAATCAGAGGTTGGGACTTGCAATTCATTTTGACATATCTATGGTATTCGAGATTTCAGAGTTCGAGATATCAAAGTTCAACTGTACATCATCCATGTCAGGAGTAAATTATCCTGCAATAATTATGACTGCTCATATAAAATTAATTTAATAATATGTATAAAATCTCTCCATAAATTATTCATATACATGTATTAACATTGAAAAAACTATCTTTTATACTATGATCACTGTATGTGTTTTATTATGAATTGTAAAACATTGGTAAACAATAGATGTTCAACATGTTGTAACATAGACAGCTGTTCAGCTGACAAATTGAATGGCGACAGGCAACACACAGATTCTGATCATAGAATCTCATCTAAATCTTCGTATCAGCTGAGCTATAAAGGTAAACAAGAAGATTCTCACCTGTCCACAAGAGCTAGGTAGGTTGTATCATCAGTGAAGTGAGACAGTTCCACTTTCCTTTTTATAGCTCCTGTAAACACATGATATATTGTACATATACTAACTGTGCACATATTATCCCTGATTTCACACATTAATTTAATATGCATGTTATTTATATGCATGTAATTTCTCTAGAATCTTCATTATTTTTCTTAAGATTTTTTATGCAACAATTCTATACTTTGTAGAGTTTATTTAGCATTGGGTTTAACATTAGCATTACGTTTTGCAAAGCCATCATGAGGGTAGATTCCTCTGTTATATACATCCATTATGTAAACTCGTTCATCATTCATGAAATCCCGCTCATGACCATTTCCCTGAAGATGGAAAAAAAATCATAAATTAATAAGAGATCGGCAATTTTACAGTTTATAATTATATTTATAGAAAAGATACTGCACACTGCATATTATACTTTATCATATGATAAAAAGAAAATATTCATTGCAACCCCAGGAAGATCAATGAATTGAGTCAATATATGCTTGAAGTTGAACACTGAGGGAAAATGAACAAAGGGGGTTAACTCTGCCACTCTCCGTTACACCTATTGTCCAAAGCTAGAAATACTAGATTTGGACAGTCCTATCTACC